TTATATAAAATTTGAGATTCATTTGGTCTATATCCGAATTTATGATCAATGTTTTTCTTTGAATATATGGAAAGATGTCATGAAAACAATTAAACAGAAAAACAATTTAATTTTTTTTTTTTAAACTCAAAAACCGGTTTATACACTGACACGTGTCACATTAATCTGCAAGCACGGTTTTATCTATCTATCTGTAAGTACAGCCTCATCAGATTCCTCCCTTACACAAAACCCTTCGCAAAAGCCCTAATCTCTCCTTTTTGTCGTCTCCAAAAATCCCCAAAAGAAAAAAAAACCCTAATCGAAAGATCCTACACGTTCAATGTCCGCCGCTAGGTCCGTCCTCCGCTCCGCCGCAAGCCGTGCATCCTTCGCCGCGTCTAGATTCTCCACCACCGGACCCAAACCTATGCCGTCATCGTCTCGTTCCGCGTTTCGTATGCCTAAACAGAGCCCTCTTTCGAATCGCATTTTCAGGTAAAGTTTTCTCCAGAGAGATTTCGAAACAGTGACTATGATACTTCATTCTGAGTTCTTATGTGTGTGTTTGCAATCTTCTTTTGGAATGAAAGATCTCCGGTAGAACTGAGCTGTTGCGTGGAGACGATGCTCCCTTACCACACTGCCACTGCTTCCGCTTTGCTCAATTCGATGCTCTCTGCTTCACGCCGTGGTTGGATCGTCGAAGGTACCCCCCACTCTGTTCTCAATCGCATTGTCAATTTCTTGACTCTTGTTTGATCTGTAGCGTTAGACGATAGTATACATTTGTACGTCTCTGGTAATTGAATTGCGCAGTCTAAGCTTTAAACAAAGTGTCATAGAGGGTATTGTTTCATTTTCGTTTGGCTTCCTGATCGAACGTAATGAATTGATTTGATGGTTTAGTCTAGTTTTGTTCCGGTGAATGTTTTAGTGGGGAGATTGGTGAGAAGAAACCTGTTGTGCAATTGGCTGCATTCTCCAGTTTGTTGGTCATGATCCAGTGTTATATGTTGGCTGGCTCCTATTTATCCATCATATGCTTTTGATATGTCCATGTTTCTGTAGTTGGTGATAGAGTAAACAAGATCCTGATTGTTGTTGTGGGATAGGCTTTAGAGTTGTTATGTTTTACGTCGAAAATTATTGGTAATAGGTTACTTAGTGTTGTGAATGTGGCTTTTTATATGTTCATTGATCCTGTTACTCCTAAGCTTCTGTGGTGGCACCTTTCAGTTTTTTACGGGTTGCTAGCTTTTTATTAGGCTTTTTCTTTCTTGAACACAAATTGTGTAGATCTTGAGTTTCTTGTGCGATTGTGTGATTTTACTTTGGATTTGTCGCGGTGTTAAAATCCTTAGGTCTATGTCTTTAAGATCTTGGTGTTATTATGATCCGAAAACAAATTTTATACTGATTTTTTTTTTGGCATCTAATGTTTCTCTAGAATACTGCACCTAGTTGAGGATAACATTACTGCTCAAAGATTAAAAAAATTCCTTAGGCAGAGTCTGTCCTGTGGCATCTCTTATGCATATCTTTACCCAATTATCCAATGTCTTTGAGAAAAAAATCGGTTTTTTTTTCCTTTGTAGGTCTAGACGAGACTAGATGAAGATCCATCAACAAGAGTGATGTGAGTCAATTTATCCTCTGGTCTTGGAGTTAGGTTTTTTACTTGATTTGCCAACATGGATATAGTTTTTTTGCTAAAGACGGATCCTTAGGCAATCTTGGAGTTGTAGAAAAAGTTGGTCATTTGTGGTTGCTTCTTTGTGATAGTGTTCTTTGTTAATGTGATTGAATATGCTTGAAATACTGACAATCGCCATGAGCATAAGAATCACACTGATACAAAATTGTATTCACTCAGATTGCAATGATGATGTATGATGAATTACTGGGGAGAGGTCAGCGATGCATGCAGTCTTAAGACAAGGTGGTGATGAAATGAAGCACCTTTTTTTTTAGTTTATTGAGCTTTATCTTAGGACATTTTATAGAAAGAAACCTTGGAAGTGATAATAATCGAGTCACGCTTTTTTGTTTTTGTTTTACCTTGATAAATTGTGGTCAAGAATTTCTAATGAAGTGTCTGCATTGTTTGTTTCTGGTGTGTGTAGATGGATGATGACTCTTTTTCTCACCATTGCAGTAATCAAGAAGATTTGTTTAAGAGTTCTAAGACCATTCCTTGTGTTGATTCTTAAACCCTAAGAGGTGTTTCTACACATGTTTTTGCTACTTTACTATTTATAGATATCCAAGTCAGTTTTTGATAAGTTTCCCTGGGTTCTTACCGTCGTAACACCTTCTATTGTAGCCATGTAGATCGTAAGCGATGTTGATGCGTATTTCCCACCAGAATGCCCAAAACTATTTTAAAAATACATTCAATATTCTTCATTGCCATATCTACCTAATTAACTTTACAACAAATCGCTATGTTTATATAGTTAAAAGGACTTTCTTAAACTAAAAGGAACTGTATTCTACGTAGAAAAAAAAAAGAATCAACATAAACCACATTTTCAAAAGTAAAGTAAAAAGAGAGAGCGATTGCACATTCACACTATCGACCAGCCTTGTAAGAGAGACGAATCTAAGGAGAATGCGTCCCCGGTTGGAGCCACATTTCGCCATTGCGGAAGCTCCGTTACGAATTGTCTTTTCGATCATGCGAAAAACTATGGATGGCTTTAAGGTAGTCCCTTGATTAGTGTGGCCGTTTGGCTCAAGCTAGATTTCAAGCATGGCTAGATTTTGATTTAACTCTTATATTTATATAGTCAACACCTTTGAACCACATTATGGACTGGACCATATATATGCTTATTATGATATACGAAGAAGAAAAAGAAAGAAAAAAACAGAGCAGTTTTTCTGAAACAAACAAAAGGACCACAAATGGGCCGGAAGTCACTAAAACCCAAAACCCCAAAACACCCACGCGTGATGGACGGAAACGAATGAGACGTATATCTGGAAATAAAATCAATCATGTTCTATTTATTTTCCAAATGGAAGCGGATCTACATTAATACATCCATTATGGACCATTTAAGCCTATGAGAATCCCTCTTTCTTTCTTTTTTTGATAACTTATGATCAGCCCTAATTATACTAGTATTTCAATAAGCCAATGATATGGTGTTTTTAAGTGATCTTAATAAAACAAGGAAAATAAATCTATTTGGCTATCAAATTTGGATGAAAAAAATCAATTATATAGAAAGAAATTGATCAAATAAAGTAACTAAACAAAGACAAGAAAGTAATGGGGGCAATAATTATTATCTTTAATAATATACATTAATTATCAATTTTTTTACTAACGTACCTCCGCCACTGTGTGAAACTATGTAATCTTTTTGGTTATTTTAGTTTGTATAGTCCTTTAACAAACAAACAACACAAAGGATAGTCACACACTCACACATGGTGCACATGCCATAACCCGGGCAGATTCAGAGCGAATTTGTTACGTAGTTTGCTTTCAATTATGAACCAACAACATATCCGGCGTATGCATGCCCATACTATCATAATAAATGCAAAACAAGATCTTCTTTACTTTTTTAAAAAGTGTATCCTATTTTTTTTTTTCTTTCAATTATGAGCAGATTCAGTATAAAAAAGTGTATCATTATAACCCAAAAATACTTTATATAATTTTGGAAAATCATGGCAATGATTACGCACACTCATGCACAGATACACATACGTTAAATACAAAAAAATTTAAATAATTGAACAACTTTTAATTAAAGAGAAATAAAAGTAGTAAAAAAGACGAATTTTTTTTATTGTTTTCACACTATCTTTCTCTTACTTTCTCGCAATCCATCAAAGCTATTCAACAGTAATCAATCTTCTTCTTCTTCAAAAACTTGCTTCAAGTTTCAATTATGCTTCTTTCTCCTTCACTCTCTCTACAATGGGTTTTCTCTCTTGCAATGGCGAGTCCGTAGTCTCAATCTGCGATTCTCACAACTGGAAACCGAAATCTCCTCACCAAACAAAGCTCCGGATTTTCACCTACGACGAACTCGCCGTCGCTACAAACGGCTTCTCCGCCGGAAACTTCATCGGTAAAGGAAGCCACGGCAGAGTTTACAAAGCCGTTCTCGACGGCGGTAAACTCCTCGCCGCCGTCAAAAGAACCACAAACATCACCACCGCCGGTGATAACAATAACAACGAGATCGAGATTCTCTCACGAGTTCATAACCGTTGGATCGTTAACCTAATCGGTTACTGCATAGATCATCGGAGGAAGACGAAGCTCTTGGTTATGGAGTACATGCCTAACAACACCCTTCACCATCACTTACATTCCTCAGGTCAAACATGGAATCGAAGAATCAAAAACGCGCTTCAAATCGCAATCGCAGTAAACGCGCTTCACTCCGCCGCGGTTATCCACCGCGACATCAAGTCCTCGAACATCTTAATCGACGGCGAAGGAAACGCGAGGTTAGCCGATTTCGGACTTGCTTTGATCGGAGATGAGCATCTGAAAACTACACCACCGGCGGGAACACTTGGGTATTTAGATCCGTCGTATTTAGCACCGACGGATCTAACCGCTAAAACAGACGTATTCAGTTTTGGGATTTTGTTGCTTGAGATTATTAGCGGAAGAGAAGCGATCGATTTGAGATACAGTCCTTCGTGTATCGTCGATTGGGCGATTCCTTTGATCAAACGCGGCGATTACGACGCGATTTGTGATTTGAAAATCGGGAACCGTCGTCCTCAGTCCGTTGTGATTCGGATTTTAGCGGTTATGGCGGCGAGGTGTGTGCGTACGACGGCGAAGAAACGGCCAGATATGTCGGAGGTTGTTGAGTGTTTGAAAACGGTTAGGAAGTTATCTCCGGTGTGGAATCGGTTGCGGAGGAGAGGGGAAGATAAATCGGAGAAAGAAGTGAGGGTTGTGAGAGGGGGAAGTAGTAGGAAGCAGAGTAATAAGGTGTCGAGCGTGACGACGGAGGTTGATGTAGTTCCCTCGGAGGTGTTGCTTTCTCCGGTGCCGGTTCGACGACGGAATCTTGTGCTGAGAACGAGATCGGTTGGTGCGAAAGTGAGACCGGATCCAAACGACGGAGAAAATATGGTTGTTACGATCAGAGTACTTTTTGAGAAAGAAAGATTGGTCACGGCGGCGAATACGGCGGTGAATACGACGGCAAAGACGAGACTGAGCAAGTCGAGGTCGGTGGGAATTGTACGTAGTCGTAAAACGGCGACGCGGAAAGAGTTTTTGAATGTTTCCAAAAGTCAGCAATTTGCCAGGCAATTTGTTTGAATCTTGTCAGA